TCTTCACTAATATAGCGTCACATTTCATTTTACCCTTAATCCTATGTGCTCCTCTTTATGTGAAGAAGTCATATCTACTGACTGCTTTGGTGAATTTATTTTTGGGTTGGGTTTTTTTTTCAAAGCTTATCAGACTTGGCCTTAGGTGAGTGTCTGTCAGTGGTTCATTTACAGTATGAGCGTATTGACATGGTTTTCCTTAGAGGTGAGTTTGTATTATGTCACTTTGCTAGCATTTTTATTTTTATTTTTGAACAAATAAGCACCATGGAAAAGAAGATTGTTCTGTAAGTTGACAATATTTACAATAATAATAATCATAATAATAAAAATAATTTATTTATAGGCACTTTTCATGGCACTCAAGGACACCTTAAAGCAATAAAACACAAATACATAAAATGACAGGAGGCCATCAGTTTGACCTAAGAAACAAACAAACAAACAAACAAACAAACAAAAAACCCACAGAGATTCTCAATGTAGGCTTAAAAATACCACAAACAATACAGAGATACAGTGCCTTGCGAAAGTATTCGGCCCCCTTGAACTTTTTAACCTTTTGCCAAATTTCAGGCTTCAAACATAAAGATATAAAATTTTAATTTTTTGTGAAGAATCATCAACAAGTGGGACACAATTGTGAAGTGGAACGAAATCTATTGTATTTTAAATTTTAAAAAAAAAAAAAAAAAAAAATTTTTTTTCAAAAAAAAAAAAATAAAAAAACCGCCCACACCAGGCAGGTCCGTAATACTAGTTGTTTGGAAGTTTAAAAGCGGCATTTGAACAATGGAAGGAGTATCAGACCACTGCAAATCTACCAAGACCTGGCCGTCCCTCTAAACTTTCAGCTCAGACAAGGAGAAGACTGATCAGAGATGCAGCCAAGAGGCCCATGATCACTCTGGATGAACTGCAGAAAACTACAGCTGAGGTGGGAGAGTCTGTCCATAGGACAACAATCAGTCGTACACTGCACAAATCTGGCCTTTATGGAAGAGTGGCAAGAAAAAAACTCTCAGACAAACAAGGAAAGTCAAACGTGCGATCAGACAGTAGATCATGAACAACAGTACCTTTCTTCAAAAGCAATCATAGATTTTGTAAACCAAAGGAAAGATTGTTATTAGATTCCTGATTGGCATGTCTAAAGTGTCTGTAGTGTATGAATGGGTGTGTGAGTGTGCATGTGATTGTGCCCTGCGATGGACTGGCACCCTGTCCAGGGTGTACCCTGACTTGTGCCCTGGGATAGGCTCCAAGTTCCCCGTGACCCTGAAAAGGAGTAAGCGGTAGAAGATGGATGGGTTGATATATATATTTGAACTTTAATTACCTTAATTTTTTTTCAACCAAAGTTCTAGAAATTCAAATCGAATTGAAAAATTTCGAAAGCATTTCAATTATTGCAAGTTTGAGTATAAAAATTGTTTGTTAAATCGGATCCATACTATAGATATGGTCTTATATGCATTTTTGACAGTACTCACACGAGACCCGTTGTCACGGTTCCCCCTTGAAGCAGCATGCTCTCGCACGGTTGCGCATGCGTGTTGTGACATTTGAACATGTGCTCTTTGTTTTCGTTTCTGTCAATGGCTGGGAGGGCACGTGTGTTTTGTTCATGTTCGTCATGACCCCGCCCCGTGTCTGTCATAGGTTGTATCCCCACGTGTGACTGTATTACTCCCAGCTGAATTCTGTTTAAGTTAATTCATGCCGGTTTATATACTACGTGCCGTACTACACACGGAGCGGTTAATTAAACATAGTAAACATAGTTCCATAGTTCACGCTGGGTTATCTGCTCCCAGATCATAGTTATAGCTCACGTTCATGTTTATGCTTATGTTTGTTTCTCGACCCTGTTTTCCGTGCCACGTTGTTGATATCTGCCTTGCCCCAAGTTTATGCCTGTTACCTTCTCTTGTTTCCTGACTATGCCTTTGGATTACATTTTGGATTTGTCTGCCTGCCTCTTGTAAATAAACTACACTCGTTCTTAAGTGCGCTTACCTCCTTCCTTCATCCGCTCCGTCACGAGTTGTGACACCCGTACGATGTTATTATTTTTGTTTGTACCTGCCCATGATATTTTTCAAATTGATTAGTCGGTTTTATTTCCCAAAATAGAAACAAAATGGTAACATAACTTAAACCCTGACCAGGCAATTACTAAGGATGAATGATCTTTGTCCTGCAAAATCATGTTTTACTGCTTGCTGGCACTTTTCATTCTGATCGATCGATCTATCTATCTGTCCGTCTATCTATCTATCTATCTATCTATCTATCTATCTATCTATCTATCTATCTATCTATCTATCTATCTACCTATCTATCTATCTATCTATCTATCTATCTATCTATCTATCTGTCTATCTATCTGTCTGTCTGTCTATCTATCTTTGAGAACCTCTAAGACATTTACTGAGGTTCTGTCAAGAAGGATATGTAATAAAATTAATGTAATTGTGCAAACTAACTCTAAGAAAACAAACAAATAAACAGAAAATAACAGGTAGAGACCATGCAATGAATGGAAGAATGGAAATTTAAAGAATGTAAAGAAATCTATCCTTTTCCTCACTCAATGAGTTGATGTTTATGGTTTTTTTAAGGAGATTCAATCACAAACAATTACACATCATCTGAGGAATTTGAATGGAGTTTGTTTTTAACATGTGCAAATAGTTAAACTCGGTACTTTGCTTTCTCCATAGTTATCATCAACAGAATCCATATTCATAAACACACCACTTTCTGAAGTGTACTGCAAGTGTGAGAATGTGTGTGTTCTTGTTTACATGTTTCCACTGATTCATTCTGTAAGACTAATGATAAATCCCACAACCTCTCTACCTCAAACCTTCAAGACCTTCTCCCCTTCTAGAGGTCGGGTTAATTGTATTTTAATCCGCTATTAACATAAAGCTATAAATCATAGCCAAGTGATGCCCCAAGGGCCTGACTGTAATCAAAACACAACGACCTACAGAGCATGGACAGGAAGAAGCTCGACAGTAAGGCAGGCAGGAGATGTTACGGATGGAAGAAAGGTCTGTAACCCTACCCTCCATGACACAGCACTTCCTGATTAGGTGTCATAGGGGTTTACAGTGTTTTCTGTGAGAGAGAATGCAATGAGACAGGGCCTCATATAGAATCCTGATGGAATGCCATGTGATTATGTAGATTAACAATAAAGCAAGTACAACCCAAATTCCAAAAAAGTTGGGACGCTGTGTGAAATGTAAATAGATGTAAATAAAAACAGAATGCAGTGATTTTCAAATCTCATAAACTTGTATGTTATTCACAATAGAACATAGAAAACATATCAAATGTTTAAACTGAGTAAATGTACCATTTAAAGAAAAAAAGTAAGGTAATTTTTAATTCAATGGCCGCAACACGTCTCAAAAAGTTTTGAACAGGGCAACAAGAGGCTAGAAATGTAAGTGGTACTAAAAAGAAACAGCTGCAGGAACATTTTGCAGGTCAGTAAGACAATCCATCCATCCATCTTCAACCGCTTATTCCTTCTTCTGGATCGCAGGGAATCTGGAACCTATCCCAGGAAGCATAGGGCAGAAGGCGGGGTACACCCTGGACAGGGTGCCAGTCCATCGCAGGGCACAATCACATACACACTCACACACCCATTCATACACTACGGACAATTTAGACACACCAATCAACCTACCATGCATGTGTTTGGACTGGGGGAGGAAACCGGAGTACCCGGAGGAAACCCCCACAGCATGGGGAGAACATGCAAACTCCGCACACACATGGCCCTGGCGAGCAGTAAGATGATTGGGTATAAAAACATTTTTAGAGAGGCAGAAGTAAAGTCCCATCTTTACTCTCAGAAGTAAAGATGGGATGGAATCTGGATGGAAACGTATGTTGCTCTAAAACCTGCATATATAACTTTCAGCATTCATTGGGCCTTTCCAGATGTGTAAGCTGTCCATTCCAAGCAGCTGTAGTAATTATCTCACCAGTTTTTCTTTTTATCTTGCTTGAAGAGACTGTATGGGCTGTCATTTATAACCAGAGAGTGAAATATTTATAGACATTAAATTTAGTTTGATTACTTGTGTAATTGTTGTTCAATTGAGTAAGCTGTTGGACTGTGAGCTTTAAGAGGGAATTGATTGTAGGGGAGTAAGGATCAGTGTGAGCTGGGAGAATGAAAAAGCAATTCTTGAGTGGTTCTTTAAGCTGCAGGTAAGTAATCTGGGTTAAATGGGTGCTGGCTAAAGAGTGGAAACTGATCCAGAGGAAAATGGGACTTGGCGCACGGTATTTTATTTTTCTGGAATTTGTCTAGATTGCTGAGAAATATGGCCGTTATTTCAAATATAAACGCAGACAGGTTAGCATGTCTTTTTCATTTACGGACACAAATTTAGCATTGCAAAAAGAGTGTACACTAATTATTAGAGGGGTGATCACAATGACCGACATGCGTTATACATTATATGCTGGTACATCCATGTTATAACAGTTAAAAAGAGACAAAGGCTTTGATTATTCAATCAAATTTTGTGGAGAATTTATGAATTTAATTAGCCTTTTTTTTGATACCTTTAGTAGATTTTATTTACAATCTCAAACCTCTGTTTGCACCATTTTTTGTTGCAAAATTTATTTAAAAATATTCTGTAAATTGAATTGAATAGAATCATCAAACCAGTATCGTGAATCAAATTGAATCAAATTGTGACTGCAGTGTATTGTTACACCCCGTACTAATAATGATTCTTACCAAAAGAACAAGTGTATTCGCAACCAGAAGAAAAAAAGGGATCCATGGCCATATGGCAACACTTACCCCCTTTTGGCTGCTCCCATTTTCGGGGTGGTCACATGTCCGTATGTTGATCGTGGCAAATTTTATGCCGGATCCCCTTACTGGCACAACCTTCCCCATTGTCTGGGCTTGGGACTCGCACTGACTTGAACAACCCTCCAGTAGCTGGAGTTGGTTCCCTGACTGGGAATCGAACCCGGGTTGAGGCAATAAAAGCGTTGCATGCTAACCACTAGTCCACCAGGGAACGCCATACGACAACACTATTTATATAAAACAAACTACGTCACCCAGTAAATACATTTTGTTAATAGTTTAAACGTGTGTGTTCACATGCACAAGAAGGTATCCAAGTGAAAAAGAACATTTTAACACAGGATTTTATATTCATTGTCTGTGTCTGATTTATTTATTTAATTTCTAAAGAATTCTATGAATACTGAACACAAACTGTGTCAGTGATGCTTCTTTCATCTGTCGTCTTCGAGCACTGAGAAGTGAACCCTGGACTTTGATCTGATTTGTTCACTGCACCGTAATAATCTATAATGGCAGAAAGGGACACAATATTTAAATAAAAAATATTATCGTGTATGTTGATTAATACACTGTATAATGTGTGCTAAATGACTAAACACCTGATTTTGAGTAAGTATTGCATTCATTACAAAATAGATGAGCGTGATAGTAAATAAATAAATAAATACGTTATTATTATTATTATTATTATTATTATTATTATTATTATTATTATTTAATAAATTGCAAAATACTGACTAAAATGTCGTTCTTGAGAACTTGTGAGAGTCTAGGAACTAAAGAAAACCGTGATGTGGGCGTGGCTATGCAGATTAGATAGTTGCCATGGTGCTCTGAGGTGAAGTTGTGTGAGTGCAGTTTTAGCATCGCGGCTAACAGCCCCAAAAACACACACACGGACACACGGACACAGAGGACATGACGCAGAAATACACTCATATTTAACTCCCAGGATAGTTTTACACCGCGGAATCATTCATAACGTGTGAATATATGGAAATACGGACGAAAAAAAAAACGAAGACGCTTCTTTTTATTATTATTTTTATATTCGCGGTTGCTTTCATCCGGATGAGTCGCGCGCGCGCTCGCTCAGGCAGGTAAGCTCCTCACACTGACCTCCAGTTCCCAATAAATGCGAATTTACCTTCACTATTTATATCATATTCATGTTAAACCTCTAGACTTTCACACAAAAACATGACCTCGGTCCTTTAGTCTCGTGTTTAGCTCGTGCGTAATTGGCATCGTTGTGTCGTCTCTGTCCTCCTCGTCCTCGTTCATTGTAGCGCGCGCGCACTCAAACTTATATATATATAAGTATATATTTACATATATATATATATATATATAATACTCTTCGGCTTAGTGTGTACTGGATATACTTATAATGAGCAGACAGGAAAGTTACAGCGACTGACCACAAGTTACAACCGTGGTGAGCAGAAAGGCATCTCAAAAGGTGGAACGTTTGTTTGTTTGTTTTTCGGTGACATGGCACACTGCTTTTCTTTTCTTTTTGTCTTATTAACTCCGAGAGAGAAGAGAGAGGCTGGTGAGGGAACATCTGTTCATAGGTACTGCGATGTGTGTAATAACAGGATCTGACTTGCTTTTCAGACATTTCACAGCACTAAAAGTTCCACGGCTATTCCCTTTCGGCTTTTCGAGAATCGATCCGTATGGAACGAAACAGAAGGTTGACCGGAGGGTTGTGAGTTTAATTCCCAGGACTCCAAGAGGTTCTATCCTTCGGTGGTTCGGCCGAATACTCTGGTTATAAACGACAAAATGGAGCCTTGGTGTGTTTTCCCACACAGTGCTGATCTTTAGGCAGGTAAGAACACGACAGTCAAGGTCGGGACTGTAGGCTCGGTCGGATTCCAGGTGAATTAAAACTCAGTTCCTGAAAGAGTTTTAGTGAAAGTGTTGTTGTTTTTCTTCATTTAAACATGTCCAACTAACGATTATTTTCATAATTGCTTAGTTGGCCAATTATTTATTAATTTTTCAATGAATCGGACGGGGGATGGGGGGGTCAATATTTCTCTAGCATTTATTTAAAATAAACTCCACAGACTGAGTGTTACAAATATAAACTTCTTACTAAAACTTTACAAAGTGTTTGTCCAATTATATAAAGACTGAAAAGAACCCAATACACACACACACACACACACACACACACTAGAACATATATTATTCATTTAGCACTGTAGTTTTATTCAGTGCTATTTGTGCGTCCAGAAAGAAATTATGCATAAATACACACATATATATATATATATATATATATATATATATATATATATATATATATATATATATAAAATAAACTTACATGAAAATGAATCATATGTAAATGAATCATATGAAAATGAATAAATAAATGCAAAAAAAATAAAATAAATAAAAATAAACTTACCATAAACAGTAAAGTGAAGACAGTCATTGTCAGTGACTCTGGGTAATCAGCTAAAGTAAGCCGCGTCACATTACGTGTTTGTGTTTGACGTCGTGCGCCATCGACGAGGAAGCGGCTTATACTTCCAGTTAGTAAAAAACACTCGTGTTTAGGGCTGCACAATTAATCGAATATCGATCGCGATTACGATTTTGACTGCCCACGATTAAATGAACATGATCGACTGCGATATTAACGTTTAAATTTCGTCATAGAGCAACGCAGGGATGGCGTCATTTTGTAGTGCCAAAACTAATGGAGTTAGCGTTTTATCGCTCACGCTGCCAGTTTCCTGTGCGCTCCAGCGCTTTGCGCGAGGGGAATTATCATGAAACAAAGAGGAAAAAACTGCAGGTAAACTCAGGGCTCTACAGAGCGACCATTTCACTCGCATTTGTGACTGAGAAGTATTTTGTGCAACTGTGAATAAATATTTATTCGCACCGGTGCGAGTGACTTGTTCGGAGTTGTGTTATACAATCGGGATAAAAACTACAGGAAGTCCAAAATGCACAACAATTACTTTCACACTGCTTTTCATCTCCTCAGTCAACCGAACAAATGTGGAAATACTGCAGAGAAGCCTTTATTATGAAGAGAGCATCTACATCATCGGTTTCTCTCAATTCTCTGAGCTCACAACCGCCATCTTTTATTGATCACGCAAAATGACTTGAACTTTCACCTGCTCGTGTAGACACAGCGGTCTCAGGCGGAGTAAATTAATAATAATTCTAACGCTACAAGGTGGGTTTAATTCAAACTTCATTAAAAAAAATCCTCACCAATCATAAGCAAGAGTAGCAACTGTTCAGTCTGTAAACATACAGTACACTTCCGCTCTCCTTCACTAACTCTAATCCACTTCATTTAAACTCATGGTTGCCAGACATCACTCGAAAAGTCAATTTAAGTTTCCATGGTTTGATTAATCACCCAAAACACAATATTATCAGCAGACATGGACACTACTGGAAACCGATATAAAAGAAACAACAGATTAACAAATAAACAGAAAACTAATAAAGACAATGAGAAATTGAATGGTTTAATTACTATGGGTTGCATTTAATATCAGTCTGACATTAATCTTAGTTCACTATCTCCTTAGAAAGCTATTGGCCATTTTCCTAATATGGATCATGCTTGTATTAGTTTGCTCTTTATTGTTTAAGATATTTAAAAATAAATATTGTATGCTTGTTTATTTATCAGTTAACCGACAGTATTCCTTATTGCTATTATTTTAATTCAATGAACAGTGACCATGAGCAGAGAGCTAACATTTAACTGTTTAGGACAGACCTCCTGATTAAAGTTTAAACAAAATAAAGATTGGTATCTGGATCGGAATCGGCTGTAAAAGTCCCGATCGGAGCGTCAGTAATGAACACCATTTAACTAAAGCGCTTTGCATCTGACTGGTAAATGAACTCACCCAATCACATCCTATATGAGATTATTCAGATATCTACACAATATACACAGAGTGGTTCGAGAACTGACTCCAGTCTAGAACCATGACTGGAAATTCTGTCAATTGTCCAGCTCAAGTTTTCTCATGTCTACTTATATTTACTTACATTGTGGCACAACAACGTTACCATCTCTAAAAAGAAAAAGAAAAAAATGTACAAATAAAACTCCTAAACTTTAACTGTGCTCCTAAATTTTTGTAATTAGGCCTAAAAGGAAATTGTATTGTGTCTCTCCTCCTGTAAACACTGGTAAAGATTTGTACATTATCAGGAATGTAGCACAACATGGAGGTGAGAGCAGCGGTCTTGTTTATTTGAATGTGAAAGTGGAATAAAGATATGTTTTCCCTAAAATCAATGAATAATCGTGATGAATAATCGAGATCTCAAACATCGTGCAGCCCTACTCGTGTTCCTTTTGAGATGATATTACCTTTCTACATTTCATACACTAGACGGTAGTGCAGAGTGCATAGTGTAAGTGTATAGTACATCATTTGGGACACAACTTTACTATTTACTCTCCGAGTTCGAACAGAATGTGGAAACGCGTCCGTCAAAAATAATGAAAATTTTATACCGATTATATAATTTTAGATTAGTTGTTGCAGCTCTAATGTGCAGAGTGAAACCAAACCAAGCTAATATTTAACAAACCAAAACTACCAATGTTGCTCGGATTCTGACTCGGCAAACCAACTACTAGATGTGAAATGTTAAGAAACATGTATTATTCAGCTAAAAAAAATACTGCCACTACTAACATATACCATTCTGAATACTGCCATTGTATTTTTATTTTGACCTTCATGAGCATAGAGATTTCCCTCAATCAGTTCAACACTGTTTATAAGCAGCTGTAATAAGTGTGATGTATATTATCTGACAGGAAGGAGGCGATCAGGATGATCAGATTGATGCACATGGCTCAGGGACCTTCTCTCTCAGTCTTTCATATTTTATTCATGGACCCGTTCTTATTTTCATTCATTCTGAGGGTTCCTTCATCTCTGCTTTTAGCTTCTTGAGTCCTTTGGTTCAATTGGAATTGGGACATCATTGTATTTCCAGCCCTTCATAATTTATTTTGTTTGTCGTTTTCTCTGTCATCAATTTTGTTCTGATTTTGTTCTTGTGTCATAGTTTATTTCTCCTCAATTCACTACCATACACATCCCTCACCATGCTCTTCTGTTCCTTCTAGATGGGTCATTATTAAATCGTATTAATAGTGAACGCATTTCTTTCCTTATTTGACTTTCCTGT